TATTGACTCTTTGCATAAACTTAATGTAATTGTCAATAAAAGCCTTTGACACTTATGGAATGCTTGTAATTATTGAGTTGTTGAGAGGTGAGAGGCTGAGTGCCACTTTGCTAAAATTGTCTCTAATGTACTGACTGATCATGACGTCCTCTGGTACTTCAACAGTGTTGCAGTGCAGCATGAGTAGACACACTCATCTGATAACATCATTTAGCATGATGGCACAACGCACTGTGATGATTCAAGGGTGAAAAGTCACATGGATGCCGTAACCCTTTAATGATGGCATGGTGAAGTCCCATTACTACATCTATCTGGGCCATATGTATCAAGCATCTCAGAGTAGGAGTCCTCCCTGGCCATGTAATCTTATTTATTATCATCTAAAAGGCAAAACTGACCCTAAATCAGCCCTCCTACTCAACGTTTGATACCCAGGGCCCGTATTCACAAAGTGTAGGAGTGCTGATCTAGGATCAGTGCAGCCTTTTTGGTCATAATGAATATGATTATGTGGACAGGGGTTACCTGATCCTATATCAGCACTCCTACTCTGAAACAATTGTGAATCCGGCCCCTGGTTCCTCTCAAGGTTTCTTCCTTTCCTATGTGTTTTCTGCATGTTTCTTTACCTTTGTCACCATGCAATCGTTCTCAGGTTCAGAAGAGGGCTCCCCTCTCTACATAACAGTAAGTTTGTACTGCTGTCTCCCTTTGACACACACACACACACACACACACACACACACACACAGAGAGAGAGAGACATTGAAATAAAAACACTATAAATAGCATAAGAGAAATGACGACTCACAAAAAGATATCGTCAAACCTTTTTTTTCTTTGTTTGCATTTATTCATTTATCTCTAATGTGTTTTTTAATCTGTCCACAAACTCATATTAGTCACTACTAGGTTAGGTTAGGTCAGTTTTTCCCTCACTGCAATGGCAGTCATCTACACGAGAGCCCAAACCCAGCACTCCCTTCCACCTCTCCAACAGACAGTGGCCTTCGGCCCAAATGGCACCCTATTCCCTATATAGTGCACCACTTTTGACCAGAGCCCTATGACCTATGTCAGTCACACACACCGCAACAGTACTTTAACATCTGCTTTTCAAAATGCATGTGAAGCTAGGAAATTAAGGGTCAACAATATAGTTAGCACCAGTTAAAAGATTTCAAGCATATTTCAGAGAGATTCTTTCAGTGCAAGAAGCAATTTAGGAAATATTTTAGATGAACATTCACATTATGACATATTCTGTGGGTAATTTAAGATCATGATGTAATTTAGATTTACTGGATCGAACATGTTTGTCAGTTGGAGGGCAGTTTAGTTAACTGATTGGCAGGTCACTTCTCCTATCCTTGGCAAGTCACTTGTCCTATCTGCCAATGGGAGGGAGGAGTAGGCGGGACTAGAGCTTGGGTTTGCACTCTCTTTTTAAAAACACATTTCTAGTGCTATCTGTACAATGTTCAACAACACATTTATTTTTGTTTTTTTCTTCTCCTTAATAATGCCAAAACAATAATAATAATTATAAAAAGAAGAATAGCGTTACTCCATCTCATCGGACATCAAATGAACGAACGTACGAACATCACACAAATTGGAAATACAAATCTAAGAATGAAAGGCCTCAATACCAGATAGTACACATCATCACCTTCTAATGGTGCCAGAGAGAGAGAGTGACAGGTTACAGAAGAGAGAGAGAGAGGTTAGGGAAGTCGGAAATAAGCAAAGAGAGACGTACAGCAACATGAAAAGATAAATAGAATGACAATATAATATCTTGAGAATACCGTTGAATTATATTAAGGTGTTTAGTGTCCCCATGGACAGGTTTTGGCACATCATTCTAAGATTTATCCATTAAACTGGGGCTTTGGTTTGCCAAGGGTTAGCTGAAATCAACTTTGTTTCCTACACTGGGGCTACTAGCTATGCTAGCGATAGTAGTATCTCCAAGTGATATTATGTCTGATGGTAAGAAATAGTTAAAATAAGGCAACAACCCACTTTGCCCCCGCGAAGTTCTAGCGACAGACAAAAAGAATGAGGTGAAAAAATAGGTGATATACTAGGGGAAAGACCGATGTGGGATACGGGGGGGACGGAAAGAGAGAGAGAGATGTGGGCTAAGTGCTTTTGGTGAGCTTACAAAATACCAACTCCAGGAAGTGCTTGACACAGAAGGCACGGTGGCATTGACACTACAGGCTACGTCCCAAAGGGCACCCTATTCCCTAAATAGTGCACTACTTTTGACCAGGGCCCATAGCATGACTTTGACCAGGGCCTATATGGGAATGGTCCTGGTCAAAAGTAGTGTACTATATAGGGAATAGGGCACCATTATGGGTGCAGCCTAAGTCTTTAAGAAAACACCACTTAGGGAACTGCTAAACTCATATAAGGTGCTCTAAAGAGGATAGAAGTAAAACACATAATGCACGTCAACGAAAAGTAAGGCTGTGGTTCCAATCCAAGCTCTCGCCTACAACCAATGGGGTTAGGTTCCAATCCCAAGCTCTCGCCGTCAACCAATGGGGTTAGGAGGGCGAGAAGGCAAGACTTATCCAATCAAATAATTTAGTGATGTTTACAATCATAAGTAGTTTAATATATTAGCATGTTCACTGTGTGCAGAACATTCTGTGTGTGGTATGATGCGCTAAACCAATACCATGGCTATAGTACAAATTAATTAATCAAAATTTGTGACAGAAGGCAGAGATAAATATTTTGATATCAGATGATATGTCGTGATGTAAACTTGAGTCTGATCCAAGCACTTAATAATAAAATGAAAATAATGTTTTGATTGGATTATAGATTGATTGATTGCTTAATTGATTGATTGATTGATTGATTGGGCGAGTGGATTGAAACTGCAGCTTTACACTCCAACAGAAAGTGACTCCTTACATTTTCATTTTTTTTTAAAGGTTTGGTCTATCGATAGTCAAAATAAAAACAACTACTTTGGGAAATCATAAATCTTGCACAGTGCTCTTTATAGACATGACATTCCGACTAGTCTTTTCCTCACAACAACAAGCCTTATAGTTTTTATCATTACCTATATTCATAACCTTCTCTGTAAGCTTCTCTTCTTGAAATGAAAATAAACATAGAAAGTTATTTTTTCATTTTTTTCTTATCTTCTTGTCTTTACAAAAGCTACACATATTCTACTGGGATGTATCTATGGATTTGTTAATGTTTTTAATGCTTACTCTTTTTCCCATTCTTCTTCTCTTAAAAAAAAGAAAGATAGACAGAAATCTAGTCATCTAAAAGACGGCATACCCCAAGACTACAACAGTTTGCTTTCTTGAGTCCTCTGCTCTGTGAGGGAACTCACTCTTTCCTCTCCTCCATTTTTTCTTCCCCTCGTTTTTCTGTTATTTTCCTCATAAAAGGAATGGAATGAAAGAGTGTGACACGGTCGTGGAGTCTTGGTCACCTGACCAGATGTGTCAGCTGATTGTGTTCGGGATGCGCTGTTCGTCTGTCTGTCCGTCCCATGTTTCCCAAACAGACTCTTGCTTTGTTTCTGTTTGTTTAATGGTCAGTTGGCCACCACGACAACGTAGGAATAACCGTTAGCCCACGTCTGACTCTGAACACGCTGGTATTTCTGCTGTAAACACTGACCTCTGACCTTTAACCTCCCTTTTCACTTATTGACCCTTCACCTTGACCTCTTTTCATTCATATGTATATTTCTTAATGTTTCATCATCATCAACTAAGTGCTTTATAATAATTTTTTCCACAGAATCCACATAGAGATGCTACCGGTCTCCTGTGACAAGAGAAAGATCCACACCAGCTGTTTGTTTACCACTACAGATTTCTATTCACAATAGCCTAGAACCATTTTTTACCATATATACTTTAGCTTTTTACTGTATACTCAGATATCATTGTCCTATAAGAGCCCAGAAACACAGGGCTATACTGTAGAACTCCCTTGATGACATTCCGTACATAGACAGGCACTAAACTGAGGGGAAAACAGGAAATGACAAACTGCTCCACTGTTCCCGTGGTGACCTCGGAACAGCAATCCGACCAATGAGAGGCAGTGATATCAGGGTCAGGGGTTAATGTTATCCTTAATCATTTTCATCTTAATCTGGTAAAAAGTTGCTCCTGTCGTGTTATTTGTTGTAGACAGCTGGATAGCTTCGTTTGAGTTCACGGCTTGAAAGGTTCCGGTTGAACCGTGGTTTCGAATCAGTGCTCTTGAACACACCATAATATGAACTTGAAACGTCAAAGTGACAAGAAGTGGTATCATATCTAAACGGCAGTTAGGATGAAGTTTGGCTTCTTTTGACACTTGTTCTGCTAAAGTATAACTAATCAACGACATTACTCATAGAAGTAGTATTATTCTCAAAACATGAAGTATACGGTCTGATAAAATCCTTTTTGTGTTCTCTGGAATGGTAGAATGTTACAGTTGATTTTTTCTCACATACTAATATTAAGACTCACAGCAGCCAGAGGACGATCTTGATCAAATCATCACAATTAGCCCTCTTGGTAGGAGATGGAATGGAAAACAGTAAACTCTGGAATATAGAAGACAAGGCCTCAAAAGTCCTGAAGAGAAAGGATTCATACTGCACTGTCTGTATGTACAAGGGGGGCTGTGGTTGGTTGAGAAAATCAACAGGACCGCACTGAACTCCCGGGATGTAAATATTTAAAGGCGAGAGAAAAATGGAGGATTGTTTTAATGGGGTTCCTTAGGAGAGATTATGTTTACACAACCCTCTCAATGGAGGTGGTTCTCAGTCTGTGGCCCTTAGTTATACTTGTCAGGGGACTTACCATGACAATGACCCAGAACTACTCTATGTCAGAGAACAAGGAAGTGATATAATGACCCCCAACCTTTGACCCCAAACTTCTGCCCTGTCTAGTTGAACTCCCTCTTCCCTTCTCTCTGCAGGATGATGTTGTTGCCGTTTATTCCCCCATCACTGCTTCCTCCTCTCGTGTTAGACGGTCAGAGCCGAGGGCAGGTGACATGGAGAGAGACATCCTCATCCCATGTTCTATAGGGGAATCCCCTGGACTACTGATCTCCCCTTCCAAATCCTCCTCTTCTCCCTCCTCTTCTTCCTCCTCTTCCCCATCCTCCTCCATCTTGCCTTCCTGCCCCAGGCCAGCGAGGCCACTCCTTGTGTTCCTGGGTGTGGTGGAGGCCCGGTTAGAAGCCTGCAGGGGGTGGTGGAGGTTGTAGCTGCCCTCTAGGTCCACTTCCTCTGGGGTGAGGCCGTTCTCCATCCCCCTCTCTCTCTCCACCCTGGATGAGGCCCATTCCTCCAGGGGGGCCCTGTCTTCACTCTCGCTCAGGTACCTAGGATAGGATAGGAACATCATAAGCAGAAGAGTCTACTTGCAATGACTGTAATATGTTATTGTTTTTTCCTACTAAACGTAATTGAATGCACTGACTATAAGTAGTTCTGGGCAAGAGCCTCTACTAAATTACGAATATGTAAATATAACATTTAAATATGCATCTCTTACCTCCACAGGCCCAGAGGTTCTGGGTCAGCCCGGGGTTGGGGTGGCCTCTGGGGCCCGTGGTCCCCCAGGGAGCTGGGGTTGGAGGCCCCCCTCTTACGCCTGGACTTGCTGGTGTGGTTGACCTGGAGGTGCATGGCCATCAGCTCGGCTGAGCAGGTGCGGAAGGGACAGAACAGGCACTGGTTTAGGGTGACCCCTGCTCCTCCTCCTCCTCCTCCTCCTCCACCACCCGGTACTCCATCCTCCTCCAGACCTCCGAGCCCAGGGGAGGGGCGGCGGGAGAGATCCAGGGGCTGGGACAACAAGCCTCCCTCCTGGGTGCCAAGAGGAGCTGATCCCTCTCCAATCCGCTCCCTCCCGTTAGCTGGCACCATGCGGCTGGTGGTGAGTGGTTTGCGGCGGGACACTTTGGGTGCCTTCGGCGGGGGCGGGGTGGGGGTGGAGGTAGGGGACTCCCCCGTCCACCCTCCCTCCATCCCTCCCTGGTACAGCGCCCCCATCACCCCGGAAAGGTACCGGTACTGGCTCTCCAGATCTGCCTCCCTCAGTCCTCCCATGGCCTTCCCATGGTCCCTGTCTCTCTGCTCAGGGAGGCCCAGGATCCAGGGCTGGTGCTGGTTGTGCCTGGAGGAAGGGGTCTCTGCCGGGCCTCTGGCGGCTGAGCCATGGGTGAAGCTCTGGGGCCGGCGCTGTTTGGCCATCCCCTCCCTCCCCTCCCCTCGTGGAGCTCCTCCACCACCTCCCAGAGAGGCGGAGTTGAGGCCGGGGGAGGAGGCGGTGGATGAAGAGGCCCCCATGGCATTCCTCTGTTCTCTGTGGTGCCTCTGGAGATGGTACTTTAGAGAGCCTGACTGGGTGCCCGCGTAGTCACAGTGAGGACATTTATAAGGTCTCTCCCCTGAAAGAGGTACATGAACAAGTTGTGGTTATCAAGGGCATATTATAATGAAGGAATATAAGTAGATGTTACACTACCCTATACTATACTATACTATACTATACTACACTACACTACACTACACTACACTACACTACACTACACTACACTACACTATGCTATACTATACTATACTATACATGGAGAGAAACATTTGTATAATTCTAATTCTGCACTAAAAAACTAACAATTTAGACAGGACCACTGGATTAGATATGGACCAGCCCATCTGGCATTTGGCCAAACTGCCCTATAGCTAGTCTGTTTCTGACCACAGAGATTTTATTTTATTTTATTATATGGACGTTGATTCCCGGATTTCTGCTATAGACTACATGAGGGGAAACTATAGGGTTAAAGTATTATATGAGTTTGTAGTATCACATAACAAACCACAGATGGCAGTAGTCCATCACAATCTAAAACCCTGATTGATAAGGAGGACATTACATTTAAAACCCCATCAGCCTCAGATGGAGGTGTTGAAAGTGATCATTGCTAGTAGCAATTTACTTAAGTATAATGATTCACCTAATTAATTACAACAGACAGAGGAGAGGGTCATATCTAGGAATCAGAAACACTTGAGAACACATTAATTTAATGAATGGCACATGTAAATGTGGTAAGTGTGCATGTACTTAAGGTTTAGTGTTCTAGAGTAATTGTATTGTTAGTGATTATTTGCTGAATTTCAAATGGACCTCTAGCCTCTACTTCCTAGCCACTCTGAGATCTCATTGGACAGGTGGAAGCAATATGGCGACATTTTCACACAGCCGATCACAAAGTGAGATGAAGCTACACTACATGACCAAAAGTATGTGGAAACCTGCTCGTCATTTAAAATGGGCATTAATATGGAGTTGGTCCCCCCTTCGCTGCTATAACAGCCTCCACTCTTCTGGGAAGGCTTTCCACTAGATGTTGGAACATTGCTGTGGGGATTTGCTTCCATTCAGCCACGAGCATTAGTGAGGTCGGGTACTGATGTTGGGCGATTAGGCCTGGCTTGCAGTCGGCGTTCCAATTCATCCCAAAGGTGTTCGATGGGGTTGAGGTGAGGGCTCTGTGCAGGCCAGTCAAGTTCTTCCACACCGATCTCGACAAACCATTTCTGTATGGACCTCGCTTTGTGCACGGGGGCATTGTCATGCTAAAATAGGAAAGCGTGATTCATCACTCCAGAGAATGCGTTTCCACTGCTCCAGAGTCCAATGGCGGCGAGCTTTACACCACTCCAGCCGATGCTTGCCATTGCGCATGGTGATCTTAGGCTTGTGTGTGGCTGCTCGGCAATGGAAACCCATTTCATGAAGCTCCCGACGAACAGTTATTGTGCTGACGTTGCTTCCAGAGGCAGTTTGGAACTCGGTAGTGAGTGTTGCAACCGAGGACAGACGATTTTTACGCACTATGCGCTTCAGCACTCGGCAGTCCATTCTGTGAGCTTGTGTGGCCTACCACTTCGCGGCTGAGTCGTTGTTGCTCCTAGATGTTTCCACTTCACAATAACAGCACTTACAGTTGACCGGGGCAGCTCTAGCAGGGCAGAAATTTGACGATGGCATCCTATGACAGTGCCACTTTGAAAGTCACTGAGCTCTTCAGTAAGGCCATTCTACTGCCAATATTTGTCTATAGAGATTACATGGTTGCGTGCTCGATTTTATACACCTGTCAGCAACGGGTTTGGCTGAAATAGCCGAATCCACTAATTTGTAGGGGTGTCCGCATACTTTTGTATATATACTGTATTACTATGCACTAATACTGTATCTTAGCCAATCATCTCAGAGCTGCAGGAGTGCATATGCCCTAGGTTGTATAGATACAGCAGAAGTGTCCTAAACCCTAGGCTGTAGGATTTAGGGGCTAGGGGTCGATTTGGGATCCAACCATTGATAGGTGTGTTGGGAGTTGGGGAGGGGGGGGGGGGGGGGACTAGTGGCAGGCTCACCTGTGTGAACTCTCAGATGCACTTTAAGGTGATGGGACGAGCGGAAAGCTTTACCGCAATAGGGGCAGTCTTTCACCCCTGTGCCTCGCACACGCTCCCTAGAAGTCACGGACGAACCTGAAGAAGACCCAGATAGACCGTTCTCTCCTAGAGAGAGAGGAAGGGGTAGCGAGAGAGAGAGAGAGAGAGCGAGAGAGAGAGAGAGAGAGAGAGAGAGAGAGGGAGAGAGAGAGAGAGAGAGAGAGAGAGAGAGAGAGAGAGAGAGAGAGAGAGAAGAGAAGAAGAGAGAGAGAGAGAGAAGAGAGAGAGGGGAGGGGGGTGGTGGGGGGTGGGGTGGGGGTGGGGGTGGGGGGGGGGGTGGGGGGGTTGGGGGGCGGGGGGGTGGGATGGGGGGCGGGGGGGGGTGGGGGGGGGTGGGGGGGGGGGGGGTGTTTGGGTGTTGTGAGGGGGGGGGGGGGAGTGTTCGCTCAGTACGAGAGAGCGGAGCTCGCGATGCGCGAGAGAGCGAGCGCAGAGCGAGCGCTTCGACTCGCGGGGCGGCAGGGGCGGGGGGGTGAGGGGGACTGCGGTACTCTGGGGGCGGGGGGGTGTCGTGTGGGATTGGGCGACGAGCCAGCGCTCTCGCGCGCGCGCGCAGAGCATCCGGCGAGGGTGCGCGCCGAGCCCGAGGGCGGGCGCAAGCTATAGGGCTCGCGACAGCGCGACGCTCGCAGAGCGGACTCGGAGACGGGAGAGACTACGCGAGCGAGCGCGCTCGCGAGCTGAAGCGCGCTAGTCTGGCATCGACTACCACGCGCTCGCGCGAGCGCGCGTCGAGCGAGCGCGCTCTATCCGCTATGGGCGTTGACTCCGAGGCGTGTGAGCCTCCTCCCGGTGATCATCCGCTCTTTCCCCTTGTGACCACTGTGCGCCCTTTCCATTTCTCGTAGTCACTCTTGCCTTGCTACCATTGCATACTCATCACCACTCTGCTACTCTCCCACTCTTTCTACAAGCTTTTTATTTGTGTCCTTATTCTCTCTAATAAAAATGTAAAACAAACGGGAGACATGTTGGGGACGTTTGTTTGGGAGGTGATGCCATGTCACTGTACCTTGGACCTGTGCCATCACTGAGTGGAACCCTCCTCCGGCTGCTGACTGAGTGCTTGAGGACCATATTTGAAGTTTGGACTCCTGGCGTTCCTCCCTCGTTAATACTACCCTCCCTTCCTTCCCCTCCCCCCGCCTAGCCCCTCCCCCCTCCTCCTCCCCTACGTGTCTCTCCCGCACTCCCCGCCGGCTCACCCATCCCACTCCGGCTCCCCCCTCCATCCTCCTCTCCTCCTCCGGCGTGGCGTGGAGGGTGACCGTGGTTCTTATGGGGCCGCTGGACGTGGACGCGGGCATGCACCACCACCTGCTGCAGGCTCCGGAACAGTTTCCCACAGTCAGGGCACTCCCATGGGGCTCCGGAGGATGGAGGCTCCTCCCGGGGATCCAGACCTCCAAGGTAGGCCCTGACCTGCTCAGCCTCCCCCACCACGGAGCTCCTGGATGGGGCTCGGTGCTGGTGCTGGGTCCTCTGGTTCTGCCTCTGAGCCTGCTGGGCTTGCTGGGCCTGTTGAGCTGCTACTAGGCTACGAGCGACCAGCTGCCACATGGCTATCTGGTCCCCTCCATCTGCCACTGTCTCTCCTCCTCCTCCTCTTCCTCCTCCGTTTCCTCCTCCCCCTCCTCCTCCGCTCCCGTTCCCCATCTCCGCCACCTGAGCCACGGCCTGCAGGCGTTCCATGCAGCTGGCGCCGCCGCCACCGTCACTGGGCAACCCCAGGTAGCCCAAGATGGCCGATTTACTAGAGACACCGGCGCCGTCCCGGTCGGCCCTTGCTCGTCCCCCTCTTACCCCTCCACCACGAGCCAGCAAGAGGCTGGAGTAGAGAGCGTTGAGGCCCTGGCTGGTGACCGAGCCTTTGGGGCCTCTTTGTTCAGCCCCGGCCGCAGGAGCCACCAGCCCCCCCAGACCTGCCTTCAGGCCCAGCTTGTTGAGGTGCACCTGTAATAGAGGTCATAAGGTCACTTGTAAAATAAATACAGAAAGTCTTCAATCGTTTGACACCTGCTATTATAGCATATTTCAGCATATTCTGAGACACACACACAACACACACACACACACACACACTAGGTTACCTACCTTCATGTGGTTCTTGAGGAACCAGGGCTCCTTGAAGCCGCGGCCGCACACCTGACATTTGTGGTCCAGAGAATCCTTGTGCTTCCTCATGTGGCCCTTCAGGAACCAGGACTGGGTGAAGCGCTGGCCGCACGTCTCACAGCGGAAGGCCGGCAGAGGCGGAGCCCCTGGGGCCAGGGTGGGGGTCGGGTTGGGGGTGATGGTGGTGGTGGTGGTGGGAACGGGAGTATCTGGGATGGGGGTGGGGATGATGATGGTGGTGGTGGCTACGATGGGGGGGTGTCTGGGGGTGTAGGTGGGCAGGGCGGGGAGCTCCACCGGGGGGGAGAGGGACAGGGAGGGGTGGCTGTCGTGGAGGTGCGCGGCCAGGCGTTCTTCCTGGCTGGCGGAGAAGGAGCACAGGGTGCACTTGTACGGGTTGTGGAGGATGCGGACATGACGAGACAGCTCCGAGGCCGTGCGGAATTTACCTTTGCAGGCATGGCAGCGGAACGCGGGCGCTGTCGCTGTGGCCAGGGCGGCTTCTTCTAAGATGACAGGACCCGCGCCACCCAGGCCGCAGGAAGAGGAGTAGGGGGAGGTGAGGGAGAGGGGCACCTCCTCAGTCAGCGGAGGGCTCAGCGGTGTGCTGTCATCCATCAGGAACGGCTGGAGGGTCTGGTGATCCATCTGCAGAGCCTCCTCTAGGGCATCCCCATCCTCCCCTCTCAGTCCCTGGGTTAGAGATACAGACAGCAGGGGGCTCTGGCGGTGGCTGTGGTGGTTCTGCCCCACGTCGTTGTGGTTCTGGTGGGCTTTGAGATGCGCCGTGGACCCCGTCCCGATGATGCTCCCGGTCGTGATGCCAGTGTTGCGGTACAGAGCTGAGGCACGGCGGTCCCGGTCCAGACTGTGAGCACGGGCGTGGAGCGACAGGATACTCTGGAAGCGGAACCTCTTCCCACAAACCAGGCAGGGGAACTTGAGCCCGGCCGCTCCCCTAGAAACACCCCCCCCCCCGGGCAGAGACCCTGACAGACTCCCCCCGTCCTTATGGAAGAGCTGGAGGTCTAGCTCATCACTACAGGTGGCACCCTGCTGCCCGGAGGACAGGGCCAGCTCCAGGGCCCCGAACCCGGGGAGAGGGGCCGATGTCGGGGTGACCGGAGGAGAGCTCTCCGGAGAGGGGCTACACACCTCCGGAAGACCCCCCGGGAAGAGAGCCACGGCTGGGGTGGGGGACGAAGGGGCCGACAGCTCCTCTTCATCCTCCTCCTCTTCCTCATCCTGGTGGTTGAGTGGAAAGGGGGAGAGGGGGAAGTAGGGGGTGGTGTCTGGGGTGTCTGACAAGGGTTCTGGGGTGTGGGACAGGGCTGAGGGGCTATGGGCTAGTGGCAGGTCCACGGGGCTGTGTGGAAGGGAGAGGTGGGAGGGAGAGTGAAGGGAGGCCTGGGGACTGTGGTCCAGAGATGGTAGTGTAGGGGATGACTGGGGCGGCTCAAACAAAAGAGCCAACACACATTCAGGAGGAGAATCCATTCTCTGTGTGTGAGAGAAAGAGAAAAAGAGAGAGAGAGAGAGAGAGAGAGAGAGAGAGAGAGAGAGAGAGAGAGAGAGAGAGAGAGAGAGAGACAGAGAGAGAGAGAGGAGAGAGAGACAGAGAGAGGAGAGAGAGAGAGAGAGAGAGGGAGAGAGGAGAGAGAGAGAGAGAGAGAGAGAGAGAGAGAGAGAGAGAGAGAGATAAAGAGAGAGATAAAGAGAGATAAGGGAATGGATACAAGAAGAGGAAGACACTTCAGACAATTGAGATGAACCCGTTTATGGTAGGAATATATCTGCATTTCAATGGAAATGTAGTAGTATGAAGGAGTAGTGTGAGGACTCAACCGTATTGTGTGTACTGAGGTAAGAACAAGTCAGTAGGCTATTTGAGGATAAATGTATGATGACGCAGTACTGACCAGTGTATGACTATGCCATGCTTGTGTGTGTGTACCGCTAATATGGGGACTCACCAGTCGTGTGTTTACTGCTATGCCATGCTTCAGTTTCTTGGCAGACGGGGGACACACTGCTTTGATGGCCACCTCCTTTAGTCCTCTGGGGAACACATACATTCAATATGTTCAAACATATGTTTAAAAAATATATTAAAACAAACATATTGCATATTATAACTCATCCTGCTGCATATCCCATTGCACCAAAAATAACATAATGTCCATCCTGCCTGCCTGCGTCTGTCTGTCTGTCTGCTTGCCTGCCTGCCTGCAGGTGTGTGTGCTTAAATGTGTAACAGGTGGTCACCTGTTTGATGTGCAAGATACATCGTATGTTTGATATCTGTGTATATGATGCGTGTTTGTGTATGTGTGTCCCTGGGTGTGTGTGTGTACGTGCATGTCAGTGCGCGTGTGTCCGTGTGTCTATGTGCGTATGTGAGCTAAGGGCACCACAGGACATGGACTGTCCCAAACAGGATGGGCGCGAGATGTTTTGACTTCCCCACACACCCTTCCTGTGAACACATACAGCAGCAGCTTAAACAGGAATGGGCACACACACACACACATCTGAGCCTAAAGAAACACAACCAACCACACACACAGAACACATACAACCACACAAACAACATTACACCTACTGCATTTCAACGTATACATGTATACAAGAACAGGCACGAAATATATTTCAGACATGTTTTCAGAGAAGAAACACTACAAACACACGATCATATACAAGGTCATCATCATTATGGCAAAACACTAGTAGGCTACATCTGTGTGTTCATATAGACAGTATGTCTGTGCGTGTGTGTGTGTCAGCGTGCCAGAATCACAAAGACACTCTCATGTATCCAGTTGACATTTTAGCTCCGCCATGACTAGCAGGGATATCACACAATATCAATCATATATCCCCTTTCTCGCTCTCTTCCTTCTCCTCCCTCTCTTTCTTCTCCCCCCTCTCTTCCTTCTCCCCCTCTCTTCCTTCTCCTCCCTCTCTTCCTTCTCCCCCCTCTCTTCCTTCCCCCCTGTCTTCCATCTCCCCCCTCTCTTCCTTCTCCTCCCTCTCTTCCTTCTCCCCCCTCTCTTCCTTCTCCCCCCTCTCTTTCTTCTCCTCCCTCTCTTCCTTCTCCCCCCTCTCTTCCTTCTGCTTCCTCTCTTCCTTCTCCCCCCTCTCTTTCTTCTCCTCCCTCTCTTCCTTCTGCTTCCTCTCTTCCCTCTCTCCTTCTTAATCCACCATTATTGTTCCTTCCTCCCCCGTCTCGCTTTCTTTCTTTCTTTCTCGCGTTCCCTCCCTCCCTGATTCCATACTCCTCCCATCCCGCTCTCTCTCTCCTCCCTCTATTATTCACTAATGTTCTTTCATTCTCTAGCTCCCTCTTTCTTTCTCTCCTGCTGCGGAGCCAGTTGGCACAGTGCCAGGGAATGCTGATATCAGCTGGTAGATTGGGGCCTGCCAACATGGCGGGGGGAGAAAGGAGAGGAGACAGACAGTGAGAGAGAGAGAGAGAGAGAGAGAGAGAGAGAGAGAGAGAGAGAGATAAATGGGGGGGACAGAGGGAGAGGTGGGAGGTAGAAGAGAAAGACAGAGACAGAGAATGAACAACAACTGAATGAAAAGATCTGATGGTGATTTGATGGTGATGTGATTTGCAATTTTCTAATATGAAAAAAAGGTTAGGCAGATTGCGAACTGGGGTTTTGTTGTAGGTAGGTATTCGTGGTGGTAGCGAGGTGGTGGACAATGTGTGTGTGTGGTGTGTGTATGGTTGTGTATATGTGTGTGTGTGTGTGTGTGCGTGTGTGTTAGTATCATCTGATGTGATGGCATTATCATATTAATATCAGCGTCACCACTGCATTGTTCTGCCGTGACAGCGGCCACCGTGCCCGACCAGCCTTGTCATACAAATAAGCTTCATCCACATTTGGCTCGATAGGCGCGCGGAGGCCTCAGGTGGCTACGGCGGGGCGGGGAGCGCGCGGAGACGCATCGAGCGAGCGCGCGACGCGAGAGAGGCGCAGCGAGACGTACGCGCGCCGAGCGAGTCCGCGAGATACAGAGCATCGCTAGAGCGAGCGTAACGAGCGAGCGCGAGCGCGCGCGGCGCGCGGCGCGAAGGCGAGAGCGTCCGCGAGAGCGAGGCGAGAGACGCCGAGCAGCGGCGGCGCCGCGCGCGAGAGCGAGCGCGAAGAGAGGGCGCGAGCGCGCGAGAGAGCGCGCAACAACCACACGCGCGCGCGCCCGCGAGCGCGCCGGCGAGCACGAGCGGCGAAGAGAGCGTCAGCGCGAGCGCGAGAGCAGCAGAGAGCAGCGCGCGTACGAGAGAGCAGGCGCAGAGAAGTAAGAGAGAGGAGAGAGAGAGAGAGAGAGGGGTACATGGTGTGATCAACCAACACAAACAAGGTGTTCACATAGTTTTCAACACAGCTACAATTAATTTGATTCAGATGACGAATGTGTGCTTGATCAGATTGCCCCAATGGAACTGTAATAAAGCATGCACTAACTGACACCTACGGTTGATTTTCCCAAGACTTGTGAACTCTTAAAATGACTCGCATGTTTTCCATACCATCACACACACGTGCGCACACACACACATAAACTATTTTAACTGTACATATTGACAGGTGTTTAGGCCATATACTGTATGTGTATGTTAGTATAGAACATGTCATGTGTTCATATCACTGTGAATGTGTGTAGGTACAGTGTGTACAGTACAGAGTATGTGTATTTGTATGACTTTAGCTCTCAGTGTACAAAGAATGTACAAACGTAACTATATTTGTGGTTGTGAGCAGGACACAGTTCAAGCAAGTCAGTACATGGCGGTTATGATTCTTCATACAGATGTAGGATCTTAATTTGAGTCAGTTTGCTACAGCAGGAAAATAATCCTGCAGCAACAAGAAATGTGAATTATTATGTGGATTATAATTAATGGACATTTTTTGTAGGGGTTTATACATTTTTCGTTATGGCAAATCAAGTCTGACATTTTAACGTGGAAATTACAAACTTTAGAAGCCTTTTTAAACCTTGAATACACCACAAGTTTGCATTTCATACTGTGCAGGAAATTCTTAGCAACAATAAGAGTAATCAAATTAAGATCCTACAGGGTGTGGATCCTACTGTATCAAAGATATCGTGTAAAGGCTAATCATAATGTTCACTGAAGGCAGCTACTGAGAATCAGGATATCTATGGATAGACGTGTGATAGGGGTTGTAGGAGCGTTTTCGTCTAATTTGTTATGGCCTTTAGGTACACATTACAGTAGAGTATGTGAGGATGTGTGCTGTATTTCCTAGCCACCGTGCTTCTACATCTGCATTGCTTGCTATTTGGGGTTTTAGGCTGGGTTTCTGTATAGCACTTTGTGACATCTGCTGATGTAAAAAGTGCTTTATAAATACAATTGACTGACTGTATTGCATACATGGCCGTTATGATTCTTCATACACATGTAGGATCTGGGGGTGTATGCTTAAGTGTGTGAGTTAGTGTACCTGTTTTTGTAAGTGTGTGCGTGTCTACAGTTTATGTGTCTTGGAATTAGTGTGTGTGTGTACTGCAAGTACTGTATGCGTGTGAAGGCCAGTGTGTTTAAATGTTTTTGTGTGTGTGATCGAACCAATGTGTGTTTATGTGGGTGTTAGTGTGTTTGTGTGTCAGAGGGCTTATGTGTGTGTTTAAGTGTGTGTATGTGTGAGTGAGGGCATGTGTGAGGGAAAGTGTGTGTGTGTGTTTTTTTCTCTCTGTGTGGTACAGTAACTCAGGGCCTGCTGTGGTTTTTATCACTGTGGTCACGCGGCAAAATTTCCCCACAGACGGGATTCATTTCCTGTCTTTCACCTTTCCCTGAACCCCCTCTCTTTCCCTCCCTCTTCTTTTCCTCCCTCGCTCCCTTCACTTTATCTGGCTTACACTTTTTCATTACCGCTCATTTCTTCTTCTTCTTTGGCTTCTCTGAATGGAGGGTGGGTTGTTTGACTACTCTGACTCGCTGTGTCCTGATTCTTGCCCTTTGGCCTCACTTCACCTCTTTCTGTCCTCCTCCTCCCCTCTGTTTTTCCTTCAACTTGCAATGTTCAGTTGGGCACACCATTGCTAAACTTTTTGCAACAGAAAAAAACGTTTCTGTCTACTGGACACGACCCCGTTCTTGCCTCCTCTCCTCTTTATAGTTATTATCCACCTGAAGAGAAGGATGTGAAGGGGCATTAGACTATGCAGAAGTAATATGTAGGCTATGAACTTGAACTGGAAGTGTAATGCCATAACCAGATTTGTATGCGACTGTGCATTAAAGAGGTCAGATCATCTTAGCAAATGCATTCCATAGATGAGTCTCTCACTCAAACTTCAAATATGTAGATCACAACTCTATC